AAACAAACCATCTTGGAATTCCAAAGGTCATTTTGGAATTCCAAGAAACAAACTTTAATTAAGACATAAAAATTACATTTAATTAAAAGATAACTATGAACTAAATTGTTAGCTAATAATGAGCTAACCATTAGTTCAATAAATGAACTGAAGATCAGCTCATAAATGAGCAAAAATTTCAGCTCAAATTTGATTGAGCTTGTAGACTCAAGGAAAGCAAAAAATTAATTTATTTTGGGCTTGAATTGACGCCCCCTTTGTCTACATCAAACATGAATACAATAATATACTGGTCTGTCGGGGGTCCAAGGGGGCGCTACCCCTGGTTGGGTTCGACCTGCCAGGGTAAGAGTAATTTTGAAATTCTGCTTGCTTTTAAAGTTCGTAAGTTATTTGTATGGAAAGATTTCGAGCGGTACCGAGCATGTATCAAGCGGTACCGAGCATGTATCGAGCGGTACCGAGCATGTACTAAGCGGTACTAAGCATGTACTGAGCGATACCAAGCATGTACTGAGCAGTACCGAGCTTGTACCTAGCGGTATCGAGCTTGTATCTAACAGTACCGAGCATGTACATTAGCTTTTTTTGTTATGTTTTAAAAAACAATAATTAATATTTCATGCGTCGAGAGTCAGGCGTTGATACCATCTTCAGTCACTGAGAGAGGAGATGAAATATCTTCACTACCAAAAAGAAATTAAAATGAGAATATTCGATGATTGGGTATTAAGTGCGGACGTTGATTTGGTATTGTGGATGAAATAATAAATTTAGTTTAAATACCGCAAAATACAATAAATTATATTTAAAAAAATTCATAAAATATTTAAGATACGTGTGTCGAACACGCGTGTCCAATTTGCATTTAATATTGTTTAATCAAACACGTTTTCGACGTGTCCGACAAGTGTCGGAGGAGTGTCGGACGAGTGTCGTGTCGGACACGGTGTCGTACACTGCACGCCTCTTTGAGGAGAAGTGTCGGTGCATCATAACTAATATCTCTTCTAAAGCCCTTTAAGGGGCATTTTCGCTCATGGGGTACTCCATTGGAAAATGACCTTTTTATGGTTCTTTGCTTGATGAAATCAAGAGAACTTGCTCTCTCAAAGGTGTAATGCCTCATAATCTAATTTGAATAAATCATTTATTTATCTTTTAATAAATAACAACCAGAGATATCCAATATCATCTATCATTAATAAATAGAAAAATAGATTTTATAATTCAAAATATTAATCTACACATCTGTTTTCATTCCCAAAAATTATATATAATACCTAAGATCTATACAATCATCATATATCTATCATGTCTATGGTCTTGGACAAAGGTGGGTGAAATTTATCTGATTATGTCAGCTTTGGTTGATGATGCTACCAATAATATTAGTCTGATTAAAGTCATTACAAGTTATATAAGACAAACAATGATAGTATTTTAATGTTAAGCATCAGACCGTAGAATTCAACTAAGAGATTTTGTATGTATGAAGCTTAGGTCGATGAAAGGCATTAACAGGTTTTATAAGGAAGGAAAGTTGAATCCAAGGTACGTTAAGCCTTTTGAAGTGGTTGAAAGGATTAAGAAATTTACATACATGTTAAAGTTTACAGGATCACATGTATGAGATTCATAATACATTCCACATGTCACTTCTAATAAAATAAGTTTCTAATTATGAAAACAGGATATCTGCTAAAAATATTGAGATACGTTCGAATTTGAGATATAGGAAAAAATCATAGAGGGCTTTAGCCTATGATGTCAGAAAATTAAGAAAAAAATCTGAGATATAGGCGGTGGTCCAGCGAAGGTGAGTATCTTAGGTGGTGGTCCGGCGAAGCTCCAACGGTGGTCCAGTGAAACTCCAGCGGTGGACCGACGGTGGTCCGGCAAAACTCCGGCGGTGGTCGAGGAGGAGCTTCTTCCTTCTCTTCATTCTCTTCTTCCTTATCTTCTCTTCTTGCTTGGGTCCCTTTTCAAGAGAAATGAGGTAAATAGGTGAGAAATCAGGGGTAAATGTGGAATGGTTGGATGGACGGCCGATGTTGAATCTCTTGATTGTGTATCGCTCATTAGACATTTGGAAGTCTTAATGATTTCGGAATTCGACGATCTTGGGCTCGTTGGATTCGTCTCGTTGAGCCGCTCGATTTGATTATAAACATCATATTTGGAAACCGTTTGGTAACTCAAACAGTGGTACAAACTTTCCAACAGTGCTTCAGGTTCTTGATTTGGACCTGTTTGGGCTCAGATTGGGTTGAATTTGGTGTCGTTGGATTCATATTACCGAGACGCTAAGTTCGACTATAAGTTTGCTGAAATCGGAGTTCGTATGGTCCCAATTTTAATTTTGGAAGTTTCCAACTTGATTTTGCATCGAGATTCGTGCCCGATCAAGATAATTTTTTAACGACGTATCAATCTTGATCTATTTGTGATATGAAATATGAGTTTTGAAATTTCGGAGATGATATTTTTCGAGGAGGGGAGAGTTGTCACATCACTAAGTTTAGCATTTGGTTCAACATATTCTAATCCGGATTAATAAGGATAAATAATTATGTTTTGAATTATTTTGTATGTTTTTGAGAATGATATGTGTATATGAAAAGTATATGCATGTGTTTTCGACTGAATTCCAAGGGTTTGAATGCATATTAGAAAAATCTTAAGTTTTTCTTAGAGCACCTTAGCGCTGAAGTCTTAGAAAAAATCTATCTTTAATTTAGCGCTCTGGTGCATAGCGTGCGAGGCAGCGTTGTGAATCCTAATGGGTGGCACTGTGGAGTGCCATAGTGCGAGAGAAAATTTTAATATTAAAAATATCTAAATTCACTATTCCATTCAATTGAGCGCCACAGTCGTGTAAGAGGGAGGAGAGGAATTTTGGAGAGAGAAACTCCAATATTTGGCTGCTTTGGGTCATTTTTAGTTATTGGCTCAGTTCTAGAAGTTGTCCAGATCGAAGTAGATCACACTATGTATATCTCAATTTTAAAAAATAGAGAGATTTCTCAAATTTTCTAATTAAAATTTTATTTTCATTATCGAAGAATAAGGATAATTTTGTACTGGTAAAAATTTTACTGCATAACTTTATATACGTTATAGATATTGAGATTTTGAATATTTGAAAATTTTATACTAGGATTTTGAAATTTATGCAATTTTTATTGAATATAAATAATATTGCTTCTAAAAAATAGCATTGTAGTATGATTAAAGTCTTAAAATGATATTTTACATAATCTTTGATCATTTGATTATAGTTTAAACTTGTGAATTTTTACTTAGCAGAAATTTTTGTTGCCTATCATTATACAAGACTGCGCAATTTTGAAATGAGCTCAATTATACTTTAATTGCTATAATGTGATTAAATTACGTGCTTTATTGGTTTAATTGAGAAATTATGGTAAAATTATTATGAAAGAAGCAAATTGTTCTAATGGCTAAAAAGTTATATTCTAATGCATACAAGCATGCAAGTTATGCCCTAATGGCAAAATGCCATGTTTTGGTGCCTACAAGCATATTCTAGTGCTATAAGCATATTAAGAGTCATAAGTAGCTAGGATCTTTTGAGATTTTGTCTATGATCGGAGAAATCTATTATATTATGTAACATGATATGAATTTCAGTTTTTTTAACTGCTCAATATTATTACTTAAATATTTGGATAACTGTTATGCTCTTATTACTTTGGTCAACACAGTGATTTATTTTACTACAATTAATTATTTTGGAAAACATTTAATAAAATAAATATTAAAAATTTTTTATTGGTGTTTGTGGCTAGTTGAACTGTTTTAGCTCACTATAATTTTGCTTTATATTTTCAGGATCTGAAAAATGGAAGGAGCCCGTTGATTAGCAATTCATGATCTAATTTAAGTCTATAGGTATTTCTCTTGTTAATTTTTGCACAATTATGTCTATTTTGTTACTCTGTTATGCAGCTTTTATTTACAACCATATACTCCGATTGTGCATACACATTTTGATGATGAAATGAAAGAGACTTTATGAATGAGTTTATTTTTCAACACTTCAGATGCTTTAGTAGCTGTATAGTAAATTTTTTTATTTTAATATTTATATCAGAATAAAAAATATTTTTTTTTAAAAACTAGAGGATGAGATTTGCCTCTCGTAAGCCAATACCATATGACTTATCCTATTAGTGGGTCTTATCGAATTGGATCGTGACACTTTAACCATGGGAGATGACTATAGATGAATGATTCCTATTGAGACGACTAACATCTAGACTTAGGCTTCGTTTGGGACGACTTTCTTTCTACTTCTTAAAGCAGTTTTTTAGTATAAATTTTTTAAATTTGTACTAGAAAGCTACTTTAAGAAGCAGAAAAAAAGCTGTCCCAAACGAAGCCTTAGATGGATATATACGAGTACTTCTAGTAGGCTTGTTAGAGGCACAACTCTTTTATCTAACACACTCAGGTTAGCCTTCATTTTATTGCCTTGTTAGGACAATCATGGTTATGTAGAATGATGTTGACCAACTTGTTGGCCTACTGGCTTTTTTTATGACAAGTACTTCTCTTAGTCGGTGGGATTGTTCACGACTTCACCATAACTTAGTGAAAACCTATTAGATACCCACGAAATACCTATATGTACATATAAGAGCATACATCAACGACTCGATTGGCACCACATCAAGATTTATGCCCTCTCATAAGACTCCATTTTGAAGGGGCATATTGAAAAAATTAAAATATTTTTTTTTTCAATTTTTATAAATTTTTATTTAATCTTTATTTTCTTCACTCTAAGTGAATATAGGTACTAATATACATCTTTTTACGCTATTATAATATCTATAAATATAAATATGATACAGAATCTCTAATAAATAAGTTAGCACAATTTTCTCCCAATTAATATACCAGAGCATTGAACCCAGCTTTTCCCTTTCCCTAGCTTTATTAATTTGTTTCCTGTGAGCAAGCAAGCGGAGAAGATACAAAAAAGAGCGAGAAATGAGCAGAAGCACCTTGTTCGGTCTGGAGCTTCTCATCCCAACAACCACAACCTTATCATCTCGTCATCCTTACTTCTGCGGTGGCTTCGCTGCATTCTTTCCAATGCCCATCACACCCCACTGCTCTTCTTGCGCCGCCAAATGCTCCACGTCTATTTCTACTTGTACTCCTAGAAGAAGAAGAAGACTACAAAACTTTCGTGCCTTGGTCCAGCCAAGTAAGGAACCATCTCTGCCTCCTCTTTTTCAGTCAACATTTGTTGATGTGGTTTCCATTATCCGGTTAGTTTTAGGTGTAATGATAATTTTAAAATAGGTTAGATATTGCTTGAAATTTTCCCTCTTTATTGGAATTTGCGCGTCCTCTTTGGCTTGGTTTGTTTTGGGCCTAATTTGGAAAATGAGCGTAGAGTTTACCTTGCTCTTACCTCTAATCAGTTTAGCTTGGATTTTTTGGATGCTCTGGCACATGGGTTCTGGAAAATGAGGGACTTCTGATTCTTTGTTAAATTATATTGCTTTTTTTTTTCAAATTTCCTGGCTTATGGATTATTCTAAGGGCTCATTTAGTTGATTGAAGTTAGAAGCATTATTAAAAAGGAATATTAGATAGAGGACGTAGTTGATAGAAATAAACATAAGCTACACAAACCCTCATAAAATTCCCTCAATTGTAATGATTTAATTTTTTACATAAAATGGCGACAACAACAACAATTATGATAGGGCTTCAAACGAACCGAGCGGAGTCGAGATGAAACTTGTTCATATTTGAGCTCATTTATTAAATAACTTGTTCGAGCTTTTGCGTTTGTGTTCAAGCTTATTTCATTTAAAATGACAGATGTTCATATTTAGTTCATGGTTGGTTCATTTCGTGCTTATCGAGCTTTAAATGAACGGCTTGTTTAAATTAACGAATGTTCCTTATTGAGCTATTAATAAATGCACATTTTCAAGCTATTAACGAACGAGTTTTATTGAGATATTCATTAGCTTAACATACGAACCTTATCGATATTATTAATGAACATTTATATCAAGCAAGTTTATCGAGACTACTAACGAACAAATTTATCAAGCTTTTTTGTACCCATAAACGAGCAAGCTTATCAAGCTTTATATAGCCTATAAACAAAGCACTAGCTTGTCAAGTTCATAAATGATATTTTTAATGAACGAGCTTTTTAATGAATGCTCGAATAAAAAAGTGTATCAAATATGAGCAAGTATATTTTGATCATGAACAAACTCAATCTATAATGAGATTTTTTAATCAATATTTAATCAAACATTAATCGAGTTTTCTCACAAGTTCCATATCGAGTTTCTCAACGAGCTTCTTAATGTGCTTCTTATCGAGCTTCGTATGGGCTGGAGTATGTTCATGAGCTTCAAACGATGTTATTCATGCACATAAATTAGTTGAACACATAGTTGTTCAGGCTTGTTTATTTAATCATTGAGTATTTAAAAAAAGTTCAAGTGTGTTTAATTACTTAATCAAACAATCGCGAACGAGCTATAATCGAGCCGAACCACGAGTAGCTTGTCCAACGCTCAGTTCATGCAATTCTAAATGACGATGAATTTTTATCCTACTATATGGGGTCGGCTACATGAATTATTTTTCTCTATTTTTTCTTATGAAGAATCAATTTCTCATTTAAATCTAATAAAAAAATCATTTTAAATATTTTCTAACCAAGTCTTTTTAGGTCTATCTCTACCTTTCTTAACATAGGCGGGATTTAATACATCTGCTCTCCTAATAGGGTCATCGAAAGGCCAACATTTAATACGACCAAACCATCTTAGACGACTCTCTCTAATCTTATATGCGACTGGAGCTACTCCAACCTTTTTATGTATATATCTGATTTGGATTCTGTCTCTAAGTGTAAAGCCACTCATTCACTTGAGCATCCTCATCTCTGCAACACTTAGCATAATTTTATGCTTTATCTTTCAATGATTAACATTTTGTGCCATAAAACGTTGCAAGTCTCACCACCATTTTATAAAATTTTCTCTTAAGTTGAGGGGTACTTTTCTATCACACAACATGCATGATCCATTCCTCTACTTCAACCATCCAACTTGAATAATATTGTTAATATCCTCATCTATTTCACCATCGCTTTGAATAATAGCCCTAAGATATCTAAAGCGTGCTCTCATTTTAATGAATTGATCACCCTATGTCACAATCCTACCACTAGATCTATTACTACTAAAATTAAAGTCCATGTACTCGGTTTTATATCTATGCAAACGAAAACCTCTAGACTCTAAGGACCTCCATAATTCAAGTTTTTCATCAACTCTCTCTAGCCTTATCAACAAAAAGAATATCATAAACAAAAAACAAGCACCAAGGTAAATCCTCTTGCAAATGTCTAGTAAGAACATCCATGACTAAAGCAAAAGATATGGGCTTAAAGTTGATCCTTGATGTAATCCAATTAAAATAGAAAAATACTTGGTCATACTACGTTGTGTTTGAACACAAGTAATAGCTCTTGTGTACATATCTTTAATGGCTTAAATTCAAGTATTATTAACTCATTCGAACTCTCCAAAGCACTTCTCTTAGAGCTTTATCATATGCTTTCTCTAAATCAATAAATATCATATGTTATTCCTCCTTACTTTCTTTATACTTCTTCATCAGACCTCTCATCAGATGTATAATTTTCATAGTAGACATACCGGATATGAATCTAAATTGATTTTGAGAAACATTAGTATCATATCGTAACTTATGCTCAATTACTCTTTCCCATAATTTTAATGTATGTCACATTAACTTAATTCCCTTCACTCACTTTTGTGCATCACCTATTCTTTAAAATAGAAACCAACTCACTCCTCCACTCATCTAACATCTTTTTAATCATCAAAATAATATTAAAAAGTTTAGTAAGCTAAAAAATTTCTTGATCTCCTAAGTATTTTTACACTTCTATTAGAATATTATTGAGTCCTACTGCTTTTCCACACTCATTTTCTTTACAGCATCTCTAATTCAGTTTTACTAATATGATTATAAAAACAAAAATCTCTCTTTTTATTTAATGCACTAAGGTCACTAAGGTCAATCATATTCTTACAATTTTCATTGAAAAATTATCTAAATATCTCACCCACCCATGTTGAATAATCTCTTTTAAGAAAAGCATTTTTTTATCTTCATCCTTAATGCACTTTATTTGAACTAAATTTTTACTTATCCTGTCTCATTACTTCTTACATAAAATGAGTGAATACAAAATCATCATTTTTTAAAAACATTTTTTAATCTACAATAAAATAAATAAGCCTTAATCTAAGATAAGTCTTTGAGCTTTTTCTCCCAGGAGAATGGGTATCAGGAATGAGGGCTCGTCAATCTTCGTGTCTTGAAATAGTGTGGTTAACTTGATAATGAAAGGAGAGTAATATTTGTCTTTGTAATGCTTCGTTTTTTCCAGGCAAGTTATGTATTGCATCTAACATTTTTTATCATCAATAAGGTTCCATAGCAAGTGGGACATGTGTGGGAAAAGATGAGGATCATGATGATGTTGAAGTTACAAATGGGTACACAATGACCAAATTTTGTGATAAGATGATTGAATACTTCATGCAAGACAAGCCTCAAACCAAGGACTGGAGGAAGGTCTTGGTGTTTAGGGATGATTGGAAGAAATATAGGGATAGCTTCTTCAAACGGTGCCAAGTACGTGCTGATGTTGAAAGGGATCCAGTAATGAAGAAAAAGTTAAACTTACTTGCTAGGAAAATAAAGAAGGTATCAATTATTTTGTTTGGATCTTCATAGTTTTATATTTCTTAATTGCTTAAGAGTTTGATGCACTATTTTGTCCGACATTCAAGCATGCCAATAAATACAACTCTATTGTTATGTTTTATAATGATATTCAAGTTACAGGTAGATGATGAAATGGAGATGAATTCATGTCTTCTCAAAGAGATCCAGGACAATCCCTTGGACCTCGATGCAATTGTTGCAAGAAGGCGCAAGGACTTCACTGGAGATTTTTTTCATTATCTTAGTTTGCTTTCAGAAGCTTATGATGGCCTGGAAGACCGAGATGGTAATGAAATCTGAATACTATACATTTGATGATTATATTCAAATTAGATATTCCAAATCTCATTTGCTTGGATTGCTTTTCCTCAGAGTATTTGTTCTATTGAGAGTATCATCCTGCCTGACTTTTTTTCTATTTTAATATCAGCATTTTGTGGTCTAATTTTCTAAATTTAATATAGTATAAGATTTCCTGCTTTTGTTTCAGTTACCAGAATGCCTTGTAATCCTAGTAAGTTCATGATCAACCAAATGGATCCATTTGTCAATTAACTATTTGAGGTTAATGCTTACAGTGATACAAACATATATGAGCTGTTTAATGCTAAGGCCTGTTTGGCTTTGTTAATTGCAAGTGGTCCAACAATGTTGCTGAAGTATTGCGTGTGGGCCCTTTTGGGTTCCATGTGGGTGTGCTACTTTCTGCGACACCTATTGATGAAAAGTTGTTCCCTCCACCCTTGATGTAGCCGGGAAAGATCCTAGTAAGAGCCTTAGAATGAGGCAACAGACCAAATAAAAAGTTCAGATCCTTTTTTTAATATTTTTTTTAGAGAAACCACGGTTGAGATCTTTCACCAAATAATGGTTCCATTTAGCTATTAAGTAGTTTGTGGTTACAATCTATAAACTAAAAGTACAACAGCAAGAAGCTGGCACTGAAACCTGGCAAAAAACCATTAAGAGGGTACATTTATCCAAGCGTCCAACATAGGCATCTAGAATAGTCAGCAAACCCACGCAGTGCCAATATCACTTGGATTCAAACAAAGAAGATGACTCCATTGTACCCTGCTCTTATGTTACATACATGTATTAAAAAAATCCAAAAAATATTTTTTTTTTAATACATTTTTATTATTATTATATTTTTATAAAAAAGATCCATACAAGATGAAACAAGTAAACTAGAATACGGAGACTAGACAAAAATACATGTGCAGAAACCTGCACCAAACTAACAAGACTTGAATCACAATGGACTTTGAGTAACCCAAAGATCTCGCTAATTGACAGTTACCAAGAGTACGCCTGCTGCTTTCTTGTATGTTGTGTTCAATTCTAATAGCTGAACTACCACGGCAGATTATCCTTGGTACTAGTTGAAGCTTTCTTTGTCTTTCTGTATCAACGCTGTAGGAGCTTAATGTGCAAATTTTGATGGAACCTGCAAGATAGAGTTACCACTGTTTGAAACTTATTCAATTCTTATTTGTTCATAGAGTGGAGCAAGTTGCCTGTATTGACCTTCTCTTGAATCATTTTCTAACAGTTCTGTCAGTCTGGATTCTTCTCTGCAAGCTACTTAAAAACTCCGCCATTAAATGCTAACTTAGAATTGAAGACACATGGTTTTCTATACTGTGGTTGAGAAAGTCACTAAATATGAATTTCTAATAAATATCTTTACTTTCTAATCGTAGAACTTGCTATTTGATAGCCTTTAGCTGAAAGGACAACCTTGCAGTGCATCGGCAGTAAATAGGCTTCAGGGAGGCCGTTTCCTGGTTCTGGAGTTTTCATTGTTGTTACTTTGTATTTTAGTGCAAAAAAAGATAGGCCACAAAAGTTCTCTGCTTGTTGACAACAATTGACCTCTTTTGGCACCATTATGTCTCATAATATAAACTTTTATAGCATTTATGAAAAACGTAAATCGATTTGTTAAAGTGACGTTAGCAGTTCTTGGGCATGTTATGAATCATGAATGCTCCCGGACAACTTCATTGTTGTTTCTACATTGTGTAAGTTACTTGAACTGTTCAATGGACTTGCATTCTATGTAATCTTTCATAAAGAGAAAATGATCAAAATGGTCACTTGACTTTTTATGAAGGATCAAAATGGTCCTCAACTATATTAAATGATCATTTTGATCCCTCAAGTCTTTAAAAAGAAATCACATTAATCCCATAGTGAGATTATTTTGATTTCTCTTTGAGGAGTTGAGGGACAAAAATGACCCTTTAATATAGATGAGAACTACTTTGATCTTTCATAAATAGTTAAGAGACTGTTTTAGTCTTTTTCTCTATTCGTAAATGTCTCTTGGGCATCACTTGGTTGCGAGCATAAATTTTTTACAACTTACATTATAATCCGTCATACACCAAAAATATATTATTGTATCTTCTCTCACTCCTATTTTTCCTCTCTAGCAAATTATCTTAATATTATTGTTTTTGAACTGTGCATTCTTCAATATAAATAGAGAGATTCATTGGTAGCTCCATTGGAGTGATGGGTGAATAGATCTGTATCAAGTATAGATTGAGCGTTACTTATATAGATGGATGGGTGAATGATTACTTAGATTTCTGAGATTATTGTGTCTCCACATTTGTGTCATGTGGTCACTGTATTGTGACTTTACATGTAAAGTGGAGATGATGTGAAACCAGGAATTGGATTTAGAAACTTAATAAAATATTGTTCAAGTAGTGAAATTGCAATCTTAATGTTGTTCACAATTGAAACTTATCAGAGATCTTAGAATTCGACTACGCTTAGGCAAGAGCTTACACCTAAATTAGCAAGATCGATAAAATAACGGCCTACAATAAGCACTAATTCCCTCATAGGGGTACAAAAGGAAAAACATGAAATATAAATGACATGAATAAAATAAAACATAAAAAATAAAGGCTCTGAATCATGGCCGTCGATCGGCGTCTCCGGCGATGGTACACGTGTCGAAATCTGATGTCCCCATCAGGAGATTTCCATGGCATCGATTTTTTTTCTTTGAAGGGTTGTATCGCTTTGTTATAACTTCTCCATTTTTTTAAAACAGATAATTTCAATATATACTGTTTTCACTCTCCTGACTTTTAGTTTGCTTACCTTTCAAATACGGGTTGATGGTTATGCCAAAAGTGTGGATTTGCTTGCTTATATATAAGAATATGAATCCGCAATTGCACCCATCAGAAACATATCCTATCATCAACTTAAACAATGCTAGCTCGTATAAAAGTGGTCCAATAGATTATTTATTTTATTTTAATTTTCAAATTCACGAACAAAGGATTGATCTTTCAGAACTTTGTTTTGAGTCCACTGAATTAGATGGCTACTTATTCCAAATATTCATTTTCTTACCATGTTTGCGGTTTCCTTGAAGATTGCTGACAGAATTTCTTTGGTAAATGGAAAAAAAGTAATGGCTAGAATTGGAGCTAAATGCTTGTCAGCAGTTCGTGTGTATGATAATACAGTGGAACATTTGGATACGTTGGAAGCTGCTCAGTCAAAGTTTGATGATATATTAAATTCTTCATCCTTAGAGGTTGCATGCGAGAAGATAAATCACCTAGCTAAGGTGAAGGAACTTGATTCATCCTTGATTCTTTTGATAAACAGAGCATGGACAGCAGCAAAGGAATCGGAAAAAATTAAAAATGAGGTAAGGAATAAGATGTTAGAAATAGTTTGACAATTTTCTGTATTACAACAAAAGTTTTGATATTTTTCTGTTAAGATTTATTCTCTCTGCTTTTGATTGCATCCTTTAGCAGCTTTGCGTTTCTGTTTCTGGAAGTTGTGTATATAAAATGGTTTTTCATGATTTAAATTGAGCTAAACCAATACCAAAATAATCTTGAGGCAATGCCAATGATTGGTTTTTTGTAAAGTTATTCTAATTTAACCTCCCATATTGATGCAATCTAGGTTCTAAAACAAGTAGGAAAACACTAGGAATACAAATGAAAAACTCCCATTTAATATAACATAAACAAACACAAATATTAGAAACTAATTAGGAAACAAAACTTAGAAAATTGTTAGGAAGACATACGAAATAACCAAACAACTATATTAAAATGCCCTCAGAACAATTTTAAAAAGTCCCCTCAAATGCAAATCACTTAAATAGGAAAAGGTGCTCAAAGCAAAATCAAATCAGTGGTTCGCTACAGAAATTTAGATCCAGTTCAATCAACGCTCATTCGACAAATACTGACAAACAGGGCTCAGCAACACCGTTAAGCTCACAAATTTCTTGAGAAGAAAGATACAGGTGGAAGGGTAATCGTGGAGAGAAGAAGTAGAGAGAAGACTAAGAAGAATAACAAAGATTAGGAAGAAGATAGCTCGCAAGCTAGGAAGAAAACCTCGGGTTTGAACTTATATTCACCAAACAACAACCCTTTCCAACAACAATTCAACTACTATTTATAGAAGAAAAAAGGGGAAATAACATTTAATATCACACATAAATGTGCCACCAAAACAACCACTAAAATCCCTCCAAATCAGCCCATACATGGAGAAGTCAAAGCAAATAGCACAAGTATCAGCAAGGGGAAGAAACCAAGCAGCCAACAGCGGGAAACCAAGAAAACAACAGGAAAAATAAGTATCTAGCAATAGGGAAACCAAGAAAACAGAGGCGGAAGAGTCTGCATGTAGGGATTGTTTAGAGATTTCCTTTTGAATGATATGCATTAAATATCTTGTTTTCCTAGGGTTGGTGCATCTTGAATTTGGCTGAAATTTGAGATATCTTAGATTTAGGTTTTCTTTTGGGCTCTAGCGGCGTCTAGTGATTTGGGAGAGATAGATCCTCCTCTCGAATAGAGGATCAATTGTATCTTGTTTTTCTTCTTCCGTTAGTTGATTCATGCAATAAAATCTAATGTTTTTTCTGTTTTCATTGGATTTTGGAAGAGTTTTCTCTCTATTTTTTTCCTAAATTGATAGGATTTACTTGAAAACTTTAAGTGTTTCCTATCAAATTTGTATCAGAGCGAGTCTTGGGACCGTTGGTGGATCCACAACTAAACGACGGCTTCATTGGCAAAAGGGGTAGAAGAGAAGGACACGAATTCTGACATTCGTAGGGAGGACGATGAGGTATAAATTGTGGAAGGAGAAAGAAGAAAACCCTATCTAGAACCTTTTCAGAGAGGAAGGATAGAGGAGGTAGGTATGGGGAAAGGCATGTGTGTGGGGGAGCGGAGCAAAGGGGTGTTGTTTGGGAACGTAGGGAGGGATTTTATGGCCGCCGAGTTGCTGAATTTGAAGGAAGGAGAGGGGAATTCAAAGGGTGTTTGGGTTATGATAGGGCAAGGGAAGATCGGGGGACGTGGGGAGGGCCAAGCATATGGGAGAGGGGAAATTATGGAGGAATTAGGGGAAACAGGGAAGATCAGAAGGTTAGGAAGCTGAAGATGCCCATATTCAAATGGGAGGATGCATATGGGTGGATTTATAAGGTGGAGAGGTAGTTCGCTGGTGGAGCGATTATTAGAGATTGTTTTTGAGGGAAACTTTATGAAGGGGTTCAAAGCATATATCAAAGCGGCAGTGAAAGTCATGATGCCTCGTGACTTAAGAGATGCCATGAAGTTGGCACAACTGGTGGAAAATCAAAAGAATCTAGATAAGTGAGCCAGGAGCAGTAGCTCAAGAGGCACTTATAGGACGACGACCACCCTTTTAGCACACAAGGGGCTTGTATCAGACAACATTAAAGATTCCCAGGGAGAATCCAACAGGAGGAGGAAGTGAGGGGAACTTCAAAAGACAGGCGGAGAGAGATGCATGAGAAGAGGGTGAAGGGACTATACTTCAGATGTGATGTGAAGTATTCTCTAGGGCATAAATATAGGGATCGAACTCTTCAGGTTCTCATCGTCTGTGATGATGAGAAAATTAAGGGAGTTCATAGTATGAGAAAGAGAGAGAGAGAGATGGAGGACATGCTGCATCTGGACGTGATGGAGGTCTCCCTGAAGTCAGTGGTGGGATTCACTCAGAATCACACCATGAAGGTAAAGGGGGAAATAAAAGATAGGGAGGTGGTGGTGTTGATTGACAGTGGGTTACCTATAATTTTATCTCCAACCAGGTCATGGACCAATTGGGGGTGACATTGGTGGATACAGGGTATTATGCAATGATGATGGGTACAAGGAAGGTGGAGACGAGTCAGAGGATATGTAGGGGAGTAGTGTTGATCATACAGGAGGTTCATGTGTGGGAGGATTTTCTCCCATTGGAGTTAAGAAGCACTAATGTCATCATGGGGATGAAGTGGCTGCATACCTTGGGGGACACCAAGGTCAACTGGGGAGCATTGACGATGGTGCTGATGGTGGAAGGGAGAAGGGTAGTGATCAGGGGAGATGCAGGACTCACCAAAACCATGATACCACTTAAAACCAAGGTGAGGAGCATACAAGAGGTGGGGGAAGGTTATATGATAAAACTACATAGGCTGGAGGGGATCATATTGGAGGAGGGCGAGGACATTCCTCTTTCAATACAACCATTGACTTAGCAGTTCAGTGAGGTCTTTCAGCTGCCTCGGGGTTTGCCTCCTCCACGGGAACACGAGTATGTTATCATCTTGAAGAAAGTAGTTCCACCTCTCAAGGTTCATCTGTATCGTCATCCCCAAATCCAGAATGATGAGATTGAGAAGTTGATCAGAGAGATGTTGGAGACAGGGATCATTCAACCTAGTGGCAGTCTGTGTTTCAGTTTAGTGGTATCAGTCAAGTGCTTCAACAACAGTTTTGTTTGTTCCACCTTGAGGGCAAGGTGGATTTTTGGGAGGGGAGTATTGTTTGACCGGTTCAGCCGGTCCATACGGACTGGCTTACAAAAAACAGAGGCGAAAGAGTCCGCCTGTATGCATGGATCCGACCGCTTGAGCCAACAGAGCTTTTTGGGAAGGATTTTTTAGAGAGGAGGGAAATTTGAATGTAGGGATTGTTTAGAGATTTCCTTTTGAATGGTATGCATTAAATATCTTGTTTTGCTAGGGTTAGGGCATCTTGAATTTGGCTAAAATTGAGATCTCTTAGATTTAGGTTTTCTATTGGGCTCTAGAGGCGTCTAGAGATTTGAGAGAGATAGATTCTCCTCTCAATTAGAGGATAAATTGTATCTTGTTTTTCTTCTTCCGTTAGTTGATTCTTGTAATAAATCTGCTGTTTTTTTTCAGTTTTCATTGGAATTCGGAAGAGTTATGTCGTAGTTTTTTATTTTTATTTTTTTTTTGTTGAAATTGACAGGATTTACTTGAAAACTTCAAGTGTTTCCTATCACGTTCTTCCCTCCGCTTTAAACAAAATGCCATATGTTGAAGTTGATGGTGTGGGAGTTTGGTTCTTTAAGCTGATTTATAAAGCATAGTGTTGTACCTACCAACAGTAAAATTCATTTGATTAAGTTCACTGCACAAAGCAAAAATATTTTTATTGATCTAATTTGATTTTAATATTTAGCACCAAAGGAATTCGTTGAATGGCGTTGTTCTTGTTCTTAAATTAATTAATACATCTTGGCTTGATTTACTTGCTTCTAGTTTTGAATAACCACTTATCAAGGAACTTATTTTGTTCTGTTGCATTTAATTAGGTTCAGCCACTTGCCTACAATAGTCTCTATTGTTTAAACGTCAGTATATTGTCTTGACTCTTGAAATTGCTATGCAATTGTATGAGTATTTTCTTTAAATTGCCCTTGTAACAGGTTTTTGATAGTGTAACCATGCACTTCTTTAATCGCATTTTTATTGTTAAAATGAGGATCTTTCCACTTAAAATTATTATAGATTCAATCAATCAGGTTGGAAGCAACTGTAATAGAACTCTACCTTTTAATATCTGACATTATCCTGCTCATTTCAAAGCTAAATTCAAATTGTTCCTAAAGTGGGACCTGTTTGACTTGTTTCTTTGGACTGCTTATAAAAGTCCATGGCTAAGTTTGTAATTGATATTCCGCACATGCTTACATCTTGGATATTTTCTTTAAAATCATATATTGTGCATATATAAAGAACTACAGTTTTGTTGGGACTTTCAAGAGCATTTCTATGTAATCTCTTAGATATAAGACCATGCTGCCGATGGATTGTAAGTCACGTTTTTTGAGCAAAACCCATCGCAAATTCTGATGTATTATTCTGTTATTTTATTTGTTTTTATTTTTCAAATTTTCCCGTGACTTCATTTTTTACTTAGAATCATAATTGTAATTTTGCAGGTTAAAGACATAATGTATTATATATACACAGAAACAAGGAAAGCCCTAAAAAATATGGCACCGCCAGAGATAAAGTTACTCAAACATTTACTGAACATAGTTGATCCTGAAGAACGATTTTCAGCTCTATCTACTTCTTTCTCTCCTGGAGATGAACATGAAATGAAGGATGCCAATGCTGTGTACACGTAAGCCAACTTTTATCATAAAAAAATTTGCCTCATAACATGAAACAATATACTTCTTCCTCTATCCTTAATGGTCAGTCCTTGCAAAGGATGAATCATTTTCTCCAATTTAGTTCCTTAAAGTTCAGTCTGGGTTAATAAAACCTACTAAATATTTTCTAAATCCTTTGTCCGCTCCATGTAATGTGAATATACTGTTGGAACCCAATTTAGCTCCTCATAGGCTAAGTTTGATTTTGGTAGCCAAAATTTAAATATATTTGGACTTGGTCTTAACCCAATTGAGCTCCTTATAAGCTAAGCATGATTTGGGTAACCAAAACTTAAAAGTCTCTTGGGACTTGGTCTTCCTGTTCAAACGAGACAAAATTTAACCTCTGTTGTTCCTCCTCGTTGAATTTAAACCAATTTGAGTCTCCAACGCTATTTTCACTCACCATTAAAACCTTAAAACCGAACCTTTAGAGCTTTAATTGGTAATAATCTCCTTTGATCACTTTAATGCAGTACAGCTGCTCTTATACCTTCTGCAATTCAATTTGTATTTTTTCTTTTGCATTGCATGAGATTAGACTAGGAAGAGTTAAATTATTATGAAGCCAACTTAACTAAGCAAATCCTTATGGTTTAGATAGATTTTTTTGAGATAACTAAACTGTATATTAATAGCTTTTTTGTACGATAAAAAATTAAGAAAATGTTGCTTCCATTCTTTCTTAGCTATCTCAAATGAAGGAAATTATAATATGTGTTAATATTATTAATTGGTTGTTATTTAGTAAGAATGATACTCCTTCCTAACAATGTCATTTTCATTATAGTTACAGCTCCAAATTAAGTGGATGGTTTTGGTCTGTCTTACTTGATTTGTCCCATGTCGCTGATTCCTACATCTCATGCTTAATGCGATGTCATCTCCACAATCTGAATTAATAATTTGTGGGGTATAACTTCTCTTCTTTGGCTCGAATTGTTCGCTATAAGGGTATCAGATTCTATGTCTACAACAATATTTTATCATTCAATATGCCTTTCTAAAGCAATTCCTCTCCTTGACCCACAAAGCTAAATGATCCCATCTTGAGCCACTTCTATTTTATTGGTTGATACAAATTCTTAAATAACTCCTAATTTTTAAAATATGTTTAAGCTCTGGCAATTTTAGTCTAAGATTAATAGGAACAGTCCCAGAAAACATTTTCAGCAATTTGGTGCTTGAGCAACTAACTGTCAAAGAATTTTTTCTATGATTTCCTCCCAATTTGATATTCTCTCTCTTTTTTTTTTCCCTTGCCATTAACCTTGTTTCTCAGAGTTTTTGATTGATCAGAGTCAACACTTCTACCAAGAGCTCTCTCTTTTCGAATATTCAAATTACTCCTCCTTGGTCTGTTCATTATTTTCTGATTGTCTAACAATGTTCCTAGTCATCGTAATGCACCTAAATAATAATAATAATAATAATAATAAATCAAATTTTGTTTAAGTGTGTACAAAACTCGATTTCACCATATAGTTCTCTCACAATGCTAAAGAGAAAAATAAGCACATTAGCTTCCATTTCCACCTTAAGTAATAAAGAATGCACATATCTATTCAAAGATAAGTGGAAATCAATTATAACAATTACAAAGTTGGATATTGCAATTCATGCATTACTTATGGGTAACTTATGCATATTTCTATTCTTCGCTATGTATGAGATATTCTCCAGTCTCCATTGTGGTCTTCACTATTTTGCCAAACCCCGCCTATGCTTTTGGCCTACTTTGATCTTTATTGGGATAGAGATATGAACTGAAAATTTTTCATTGGTTTTTTTGGGCGCCTCTCTAATTTTTGATAAAGTAAGACACAAATGAGGGTTACTCATTCTAGTGCTAAAGTAGAATATCACACCCTTGTTGACATGCGGGTTAATTTGGGTTCGATGGTTGCACACAAGTATGAGTGTGGTTCAGGATAGTTTCTATTATGACGATTGCAATGTGATTGTAATTGCTCAAAATGATGTATATCACAACGGTACTAAATGCATTGAAAGTTTGAAACTAATTGCACTTCATTTATGGTGAGGTAGTGATGCAGGACTAAAATGATGAAACAATATTTTGTTTAAAGAAATTTCACGCTTCTTTGTTTGAGGCAATATTAAGGATTAACTTTTAGTGATTTAAATGATGAAGTAAATCAAGAGTGGGGTGATTTCAACTTAGGCTAAGCTACACATATGAAGTTAAGATCTCAAACAATCAATTAATCAAAACATAGCATAAAATGGAGGTTTTCAACAAAATATCCCTAAATTAACAATGAGATGAGTCACTATGAAAGGATCCTCTTACTCAACTCTCTCTAATTTACTAGGCTTAGCAGAGGGAAATTAATACAATCTTTGTGAATCAAACTAAAACCACAATTGAAAGTGATTAAGAAAACAAATGATTTGGAGCATTAGCTTACCGTTGCAAGATTTAGCAACAGCCTTCCACTGGACGGAAGAGATTTGTTCTTCGATGGCGGCAGCAAGGGTGAAGACAATCCTCTCCACGTATCCTTCCACTGTTTGATCAATCTCCGGATTAACGTCGAAGAAGGGTGATTTGGAGATGTTGACTTGACCTTGATCGTTGTGGATGAAACTGTGGTCGACTTCAGGATCGGCCATTCATATGTTGAAAGAGTTGTGGGTGAAGGAGTATGGTCTTCCTATTCTTAAAAGAGCAAGCTCAAAAGAATTAAAGTGACTTGAGAGAGAAGGTGGGGAAAGGGGGACCAATTCTTGAAAGTAGGGTTTATGTTTGAGAGGGAGAGGTGACTTGAAATTTGAATTTAATTTCCAGATTTTAATTTGGAGGGATTTGGAATTTGAAATTTAAATCTAATTCCAAAAGAGGGAAGGTGAATTCCTGGAGAGAGGGTGATAGGAGAGAGGGGTGTTGGGCCGGCGGCATGCATGGGTTTAGGGAGTTCATTGGTGGAGTTAATGCTCTCCTAAAATTGAATTTCAGTTTTAGAAAGAGTGATAATCAATCCAATTTAATTTGAAATTGATTTGGATTGATTTAAGGGGTTTCCTAACATAAAACTAGTTATTTTTGGAAAGAATTTGAATTTTGAATTAAAATCAGATTGATTATCTTTCCAAAATTATCTAGTATATGTTAGGAAAGTATTGTAATAACTGGTTTAGGCTTGGCCGGTTCAACCGAACCGGCCAGCCTTCTATTATTAGCCGCGACCCAACAGAGGGTCGCTACAGAATCTTTCGCGCGAAACAGAGAGGGGTGGGCGACGGAGCGTTCGTGCGAGGGATCAAAGTGAGTTTCGTTTTTCCAATTTTAGCACACGATTGTTTTCAATGATAGGAAATAATAATTCCTTTTCATTCTTATCGTTATCAGAGTATTATTTTGGGAGAGATTTGAAGAACGAGAGAAACGGACAAGAAAGATTAAGGGAAGAAGGTTGGTTGAATTTCTTTCTCTCTTTTCTTATAAATTTCGTAGATTTTTTTACTTAAACACAAATAATAATATTCACAGAGAATAAGGAAGAGAATTGAAGCAAAGAGAAGAAAATTTGGGAGAGAAGGATTTAGGGATTTTTAGAAAATTCCTATTTCTCCTTTTGTAAATAACTCTCCGTAAGCGAATTTAATTCCACTATGTTATGATAGCATGTTTTTATAGAAGTTATATTTTGTGGATGTTGTAGGAACTCGAAGTTGAGGTTGCTCCAAGGATTGAGAATTTTGAAGGATTAAAGTGGGTATTTATAAAAGTTTAAATTTCTTTATTTCAATTCTATTTTACATTTAGAAAGAAGTGTATATGAAATTGTTTAGATTTATGATTTCTGCTACTGTTGGAAATTATTAACTAAAATAAGCAACGGCATGTATGAGTACAATTATGGAAAAGAAAAATGATATGTAATGAGTATATCAAGAAATAGAAAAATAAAGTTTAGAAAGAAAACATACACATGTATATGATTCGTATATGCAAATGATAAGTAATATTTACAGAGATATATGTAAGATATGTTGTATGCAATGGTAACAATAAGAATGAAAATGAGAAAAGAAAAGAAAAGTGAATAAAGGAAAAGGTATTGAAAACGACAGGAGTTCACCCCCTTATGGTACTGGCTGGGGACGTCGTACTCATGCACGAAAAAGGAAAAGGAAAATGATATGGAAATGGAAAAGGTTGTACCTTTAGGTACTTTGAGACGGTGCTCCTGTGCAAAACAGATGGGAAAAGGCAATATAAATGAAATATTAAAGATAACAATTGTTTTAAATGAAGATATCTGAAGAAGTATAAATCAATGAAATGAAAGAAATAAGATTAAGAAATGATATAATCCACATATTTATATGCATATTGATTGTTTTAATTAAATACCCACTGAGTTTACTTAGTAAACTCAACCCACGAGTTTAAATGTTTCAGGTAAGTTTCTAAAGAAGAAATGACTGAAAGAGAAGAACATGTTTACAGAAGACGACGTGCAAATGACAACAGGTAATTTATATTTTGTGGTTAGTGGCTCTTTAGTACAAATGAATTAGTATAATGTTTAATGAATTTTATCGTCCGACTTTTCATACCCGCATCGTTATGCCATTTGGAGTGACAAATGCACCAGCTGTATTTATGAATTTGATGAATAGAATTTTTAAGCCATTTCTGGATATATTTGTGATTGTATTTATTGATGACATTCTGATTTATTCAAGAGATAAAGAAAGCCATTTCAGTCATCTGCAGGCAGTGTTGCAAACATTAAAGGAGAACAAATTGTATGCCAAATTTTCAAAGTGTGAGTTTTGGCTTAGCAGTGTTAATTTTCTGGGGCATTTGATTAGTAGTGAAGGAATTTCAGTTGATCAGAATAAAATTCAAGTTATATCAGATTGGTCAAGGCCAACGACAGTTTCAGAGGTGAGGAGTTTTCTAGGACTTGCTGGTTACTACAGGAGGTTTGTAGAAGGGTTTTCTCAGATTGCTATGTCGTTATCCAGATTAACTCAGAAAGCAGTAAAATTTGAATGGAGTGATTAGTGTGAAGAAGCCTTCGGAAGTTAAAGAATTGCCTAGTGACTGCCCCGATTTTGACAATTTCATCAGGTTCAGAAGGGTTCCAAATTTTCTGTGATGCTTCATTGCGAGGACTTGGTTGTGTATTGATGCAGTATGGTAGAGTGGTGACTTATGCATCAAGTCAATTGAAAATTCATGAAAGGAATTATCCCACTCATGATTTAGAATTGGCAGCTGTAGTTTTTGCACTCAAAATATGGAGACATTACTTGTATGTGGTCAGATGCGAAGTGTTTACAGATCATAAAAGTCTCAAATACATTTTCAATCAAAAGGAGCTAAATTTGAGACAGAGAAGGTGGTTAGAGCTAATTAAAAATTATGACTTGGACATACAGTACCATTCTGGAAAGGCAAATGTGGTTGCAGATACACTTAGCAGAAAAACACTTGGAAATACAAATTGGCTAATTACCCAACAGGAGCAGATAATCAGAGATATAGAAAAGTTAGAAATTTCAGCGGTCAATCAGAAAGAGACAAAAGATATGATGTTGAATCAGTTGATGATCCAATCTACTTTGAAAGATAGAGTACTCAATGCATTATCCCAGCATGAAAAATTTCAGATCATCATAAAGAAGGTGCAAGCAGGACAGTTAGAGAACTTCGTTGTGGACGGAGAAGGATTATTAAAATATAAAGAAAGGATATGTATTTCAAATGTTGGAAACTTGAGAGAAGAGATATTGCAGGAAGCTCACCTCTCAACATATGAAATTCACCCAGGCAGTACAAAGATGTATCAGGAACTTAGAGGTTTATTTTGGTGGCCAGGATTAAATAGGAGTGTTGCAGAATTTGTAGCAAAATGTATTCCCTGTCAGATGATTAAAGCAGAACATCAAAAGCCAAGTGGACAACTACAACCCTTACCTATACCTGAGTGGAAATGGGAGGAGATTGCAATGGATTTTGTGATTCGATTACCCAGGTCAAGGCAGAGTAGAGAGTGATATGGGTTGTTATTGATAGATTAACCAAGTCAGCTCATTTCTTACCAATCATGCAGACATATTCAGTGGAGAAGTTGGCAAAGCTGTATATTGATGAAATTGTGAGATTACATGGAATTCCAAAATCTATAGTTTCAGACAGGAATGCCCGTTTCACTTCTAAATTGTGGAAGAAAATTCAGGAAATTATGGGCACCCGATTAACTTTCAGTACTGCATTTCATCCTCAGACAGATGGGCAATCAGAAAGAACAATTCAGACTTTGGAGGATTTAATGCGTTTATGTGTTTTAAATTTTGGAGGAAATTGGGAGATTCACATACCATTGATTGAATTTGCTTACAATAACAATTTTCAAGCTAGCATTGGAATGGCACCATATGAGGCTCTTTATGGAAGAAAGTGCAGAACACCCTTGTGTTGGGTAGAAACTGGTGAAAGAAAGGTAATTGGAACTGAAATGGTGGATCAAGCTGCTAGCAAAATCAGATTGATCAGAGATAGACTAAAGGCAGTTCAAGACAGACAACGAAAATATTATGATGTAAAGCACTGACCAGTGGAATTTGAAGTTGGAGAATTTGTTTTCTTGAAAGTAAGCCCAATGAAAGGTGTTCAAAGGTTTGGAAAGATAGGGAAACTGAGTCCAAGATTTATAGGACCTTTTGAAATCATAGAAAAGATTGGAAATATGGCATACATATTGGATCTACCAGGACACATGCAAGGAATCCATAACGTGTTTCATATATCAGTACTTCGGAAGTATGTCTCAGATGATTCAAAGAGAATCCAGTCTAAAGCAATTAACTTACAACCTAATTTGAGATATGTTGAGGAGCCTGAAAGAATAATGGAATTCGATGTGAAGCAGTTAAGACATAAGGTAATACCTTTTGTAAAAATTTTATGGAAACATGGATCAGAAAGAGATGCCACCTAGGAACGGGAAGCTGAAATGAGAAGTCAATTTCCTCATCTATTTAGCTAAGGTATGCTTTACTACTTAACTTAATTTCAAGGACGAAATTTTATAAGGAAGGGAGATTGTAATAACCGGTTTAGGCTTGGCTGGTTCAACCAAACCAGCCAGCCTTCTATTATTAGCCGCGACCCAACAGAGGGTCGCTACAGACTCTTTCGCACGAAACAGAGAGGGGCGGGCGACGGAGCGTTCGTGCGAGGGATCAAAGTAATTTCGTTTTTTTCAATTTTAGCACACGATTGTTTTCAATGATAGGAAATAATAATTCATTTTCATTCTTATCGTTATCAGAGTATTATTTTGGAAGAGATTTGAAGAACGAGAGAAACGGACGAGAAAGATTAAGGGAAGAAGGTTGGTTGAATTTCTTTCTCTCTTTTCTTATAAATTTCTTAGATTTCTTTACTTAAACGCGAATAATAATATTCACAGAGAATAAGGAAGAGAATTGAACCAAAGAGAAGAAAATTTGGGAGAGAAGGATTTAGGGATTTTTAGAAAATTCCTATTTCTCCTTTTGTAAGTAACTCTCCGTAAGCGAATTTAATTCAACTATGTTATGATATCATGTTTTTATAGAAGTTATATTTTGTGGATGTTGTAGCCTTGTAGGAACTCGAAGTTGAGGTTGCTCCAAGGATTGAGAATTTTGAAGGATTAAAGTGGGTATTTATAAAAGTTTAAATTTCTTTATTTTAATTCTATTTTACATTTAGAAAGAAGTGTATATGAAATTGCTTAGATTTATGATTTCTGCTACTGTTGGAAATGATTAACTAAAATAAGCAACGGCATGTATGAGTACAATTATGGAAAAGAAAAATGATATGTAATGAGTATATCAAGAAATAGAAAGTAAAGTTTAGAAAGAAAACATACACATGTATATGATTCGTATATGCAAATGATAAGTAATATTTATAGAGATATATGTAAGATATGTTGTATGCAATGGTAACAATAAGAATGAAAATGAGAAAAAAAAGAAAAGTGAATAAAGGAAAGGTATTGAAAACGACAGGAGTTCACCCCTTTATGGTACTGGCTGGGGACGCCGTACTCGTGCATGAAAAAGGAAAAGGAAAATGATATGGAAATGGAAAAGGAAATCAAATGGAAAAGGTTGTACCTTTGGGTACTTTGAGACACTGCTCCTGTGCAAAACAGATGGGAAAAGACAATATAAATGAAATATTAAAGGTAACAATTGTTTTAAATGAAGATATCTGAATAAGTATAAATCAATGAAATGAAAGAAATAAGATTAAGAAAGGATATAATCCACATATTTATATGCATATTGATTGTTTTAATTAATACCCACTGAGTTTACTTAGTAAACTCAACCCACGAGTTTAAATGTTTCAGGTAAGTTTCTAAAGAAGAAATAACTGAAAGAGAAGAACATGTTTACAGAAGACGACGTGCAAATGATAACATGTAATTTATATATTGTGGTTAGTGGCTCTTTAGTACAAATGAAGTAGTATAATGTTTAATGAATTTTATCGTCCGACTTTTCGTACTCGTCTCGTTAGATCGAGCATCCGGGCCGGGTCGTGACAGGAAAGTAGGCTATCAAAGTGGGATTGGCTCCAAAAGAGAAAGAGGGGCCGGCGGCTAGGGTTCAGGTGGAAGTTGGTCGTTTTGTTTATAGTGGAGGTGGGGTTTGGTGGGAGAGGAGGTGGGGTTATGGAGACCAGCCCTAGGATGTGAGCTTCACCTCTCTAAACCCTCTCAAACTCTCCCAAGAAGCACAATAGCAGAAATTTTCTGAAATAATTCTTCATTACCCACAAAGAAGGGGAAGGGGGCTTTAAATTGCCAATACAATGAGAAAATAAAAAGGACTAACATGCCCCTAGGGCTTACACATAACTAAACCCTTAAGTAAGAGCAAAAACGGAAAATACAAAAAAAAAAAACTAATAAATTAATAATAAAATATGAGACAATGATAATCAAAAGTTGAGCGGTGCGATCGTGGCCGTATATCGGCGGCCACGCCTCTGATAGACTCTCCAAGGTCGGATGTTCTCATCAGATAGAGTCCCTCATTATTAAGATTTCATTCCTCCATATTTTATCTTTCTTTCTCTCTTCTTCAAACTATCTATAACCCTTATGCTTTTACACACAAGATAATACAAATTCTCTTCCAACTATTTTCTAGCAAATTCTGCATTTATTGTACTGCAATATTGTTATTATAGGACACCTAAGGAGTTGCACAAATGGATTAAAATGATGCTGGATTCCTACTATCTGAACAAGGAGGAAACTGACTTGATAGAAGCTCGGCAAATGAGTGATCCCATGGTAATCCAGAGGCTCTTTATTCTAAAGGAGACGATAGAGGAGGAATACTTGAAAGAGCACAAAGTGACAAACGAAAAAGAACAAGAAAGAGATTAGAATGTACCAGCCCTTCATCAACGGCAACTCAGAGCAAACTCAAGAAAGATGGGACAGTAGTTGCCTCAGCTCTGTAGTCGCAACAGTAAGGTGATCTCTCTATTTCCATTGAAATTGCATTCTCTAGAAAATTCTAGAATATGCCTGGAGGCTTTGTTTGATAATGTTTTAATATGACGTGTTGCGTTTTGTTTTGTTATGTTGGGTGGATGCCAATTTGATAAATTTACTTTTAAATTTGTATGACTTGGTACTATTTTTTTTTTTCTATTTTTGAGACGAGGAAATAATGTCCATAGGCCAGTTAAAATCTCGATCGACCTAGCGGGCAACCCACATCAATTTACCCGAGCCGACGGTTAAGGCTTACACTGCTGTCCAGGGGATTCGAACCAGGCACTTGAGCTTTGCCCAACCGGTTCTCCGTCACACAGACTAAGCAGCGGTGGGTTGACTTGTTACTGTTTGGTAAAACTTATTGTGATATTAATATAAACTAGTATAAATATCGTGCATTAAATGAACGTTATTAAAAATTTAAAAATAAAAATTCATATTATAAATATTTTAATTATATTATCATTATAAAGATGAAATTTTATTATTATTATTATTATAAATAATTATAATCATTATGATAATAAATTTATTAATTTCAATTAACAAGGTTGCAGTTGCAGCAACACATTACGTCAACAAGTCATCAATGTCAGTGATCACATAGCCAGCAAATAGTAAAACATGAAAATAGCACGGCAGTTAACATTTGCCCTTTGGAGGCCAATGCTTACCTCTCGTCGTCTGTTCAATGGCTTTTTTTTTTTTTTTCACGTTCCAAATCATTCATGCATATAAAGGACAATGTGTATAAATGCCAAAAAAATTTCTTTCGTATTATAACTTAAAATGTTTTATTATAAAATATTTTAATAGATGGGATTATGACTTTTAAATATGTAATTTTTTGATCAAATTTAACTTTTTATACCATTTTCAATGAGTTTAATACATAAATAGAATTTATTTATTATGTTATATTTTTTATTTATTAACCAAAAATTATCTTGATCGAGCATAAATCTTGAGGCAAAATTAAGTTATAAAATTATGAAATTAAATATGGAACCAATTGAACTCCGATTTTAGCAAACTTATAGTCAAATTGAACGTCTCGAAAAGACGAACCCAACGACACCAAATTCGACTCAATTCGAGCCCAAATGGGGCCAAATTAAAGACCCGAAGCACATTTGAAAGGTTCAATCCGTAAATTGGATGACCAAACAAACTTCAAATGTGAATGCTCATAGTTGAATCGAGCGGCTTGATGAGACGAGCCAAACGAGCCTAAGATCTCTCGCCACTAGACTTCTCCACGAGCTCTGTCGGACTTTCGCCGTGGCTACCAATGGACTTTGGGCTTTCGCTCGGCAACTGATTGACGTCGGGCTTTCACTAGACCTCCGCTTGGCCCATAACTTTCACCGAAATTGCATATGGCCACCAACTGATGATGAACTTTTGTCCGACCACCAACTACCGTCGGACTTCCACCTGACTTCCAATGATTATTGGACTTCCACCTGACAATGGCCTTTATGACCTTCATCGCCCACTTACTATAATTTTCTGACCTTCGTCACCAGAGATCGGTTTTTTTTACCATTGTTTCCCTCCGACTACGATTTTTTTCGACCTATGTCGCTAGACAATGATCTTTCTAACCACTGTCGTTCTTCGATTACAAACTTTCTAACTCTCTGTTGCTAGACAACAATTTTACTGACCACTGTCTCCCTCCGACTACGTTCTTTCTGACCTCCGTCGCCAAACAAATGTCTTCTTGACCACTATCACCCTTCGACTACGATCTTTTCAACATTCATTATCAGATAATGGTATTTTTGACCACTTTTGCATGAAAATAACGGTTCTTCCGACTTCCATCAAATGACAACGGTCTTTTTGACCTCCATTGCTTGCCGACTATGGTCCTTCCTACCTCTGTTGCTAGACAATGATCTTTTTGGCTTTTGTTACCCACCAACTACGATTTTTTGACCTTTGTCGCCTGATAATGGTCTTTCTGACCCGTTGAATGCCAATTATGGTCTTTCTGACCTCCATCGCCCACTGACCATGGTCCTTCTGACCTCCCTAGATTACAGTCATTCTGAACTCCATTGCCAAACAACGGCCATTCCGACCTCTTTCACTTGCCAACTACGATCCTTTCGACCACCTTCACTCAACTATGGTCTTTCTGACCTCCATTGCCCATTGACTATGATCTTGGCAACTAGAAAAACATGTTAATACTGATTCTTTCAATTCCCATCATGTAATGCACTATATATGATGTATATTTCTTACATCAAGTCAATACCTTCCTCCCAAGGAAGGGCCTCATTTGTAATCGACTGCAAATACTAGTGGATTCATTCAAACTAGGTCAGGCCCCGGGCCTCACATAAAAACTCTGGTGTCTGTTATGAATGCCACACATCTTTTTTATCTGTTTGTGTGCTAAATCATTGTACAGAGCTAAAATGTTATATTTTATATCTCTCTATCGCTGCAAATATTCTAGGACACAACAATTTAACGTTGTATATGGGAATGTAGTTCCTTACTAGGGCAATTTTTGCTCCAACCTCTAAAGGTGATTCATTTCAATATTCTAACTTTGAACTATTGTTGCATCTATTTCATGGGAATCAGATGTGGACTGAGGGTAACCTTCATTGTAGATGTGGTCAAGAATATTCTTCAAACTCTTACAACATACAAGACGATATCTTGGGAAACTATTTTTCATAAAGTTTCTAGCAAATGTAAGAATGATTCCAATACATTACAAGCTATATATATTTCCTAAGCTGGACTTCTACCCCTTGAGCAATGTCTTTATCTCGACCTAAAAAAGGCAGTAACTGTCTAAAGATTTCACCTTTGATTCGAGATATACGTGGCATTCGATCCCTCCCAATCAAGGTGTAATTCATCCCATGGGGATTCGATTAGATCTCTTCCATATAGGTTAACATCATCAAGAAATATTCTAACAAACAACCTCAGATATGTCAAATATCCTAGGAGGATGTCAATTAAGTCTTTAAATCCTTGATTTGAGAAATACACAATCTTTATTGTGTCTCAATCTATGGATGATCAATCCTAGGAGAATTCAATCTGACCTCTTCCACATAAATTAACGTCATCGTGCAACACTCTGACAAATAACCTCGGATATGTCAAATATCCAATGAGGATGTCAATTAAGTCTTAAAATCCTTAATTCGAGAAATACACAACCTTTATTGTGTCTCAATCACTAAATGATCAGTCTATGGTGATTCAATTTGAACTCCTTCATACAGGTTAACGTCATCGAGCAATGCTCTAATAAATAACCTCAGATAGGTCAAACATCCTAGGAGAATGTCAATCAAGTCTTAAAATACTTGATTCAAGAAATACACAATATTTATTGTGTCTCAATCACTTGATAATCAATCCTAAAGAGATTTGATCCGACCTCTTCTACATAGGTTAATGTTATCGAGTAACGCTCTGATACACAACCTTGGATAAATCATACATCTTTAGTAGATTCTCTCGATCTCTTCCACACTAGTTAATATCATAAAGTAATGCTCTCATAAATAACCTCGGATAGGTCATAAATTCTTAGTGGATTCTCTCGGCCTTTTCCACATAGGTTAATATCATTGAGCAATGCTCTAACAAATAACCTCATATAGGTCAAACATTCGTTGTGGATTCTCTCATCATCTTCTATTCATATTAACTTCATCGATTAATGCTCTGACAAAAAACATCTGATAGGTCAAACATTCATTATGAATTTTATCATCCTTTTCAATACAAAGCAACAAATAACTCCATGAAGGCTCACCTATAAGGAAGCCTTAAAGGAATGCTAGTAGTGGACAACATTCTCACCAAATAGGCTCCATAAGAACAAATGGTTGACAGGGTCATCACTTATACAAAGACCTTAGCAGGCTACAATTTCTTAAATGGCACATGTATACTGTGGACCTCATTTTTCACTTAAATCCTTGGGTCAAAGAGTTTGAACTGGTCAAATCGACCACTGGTCAAATCGACCAAGCCAGGTCCTAAGACCATCTTTCTTTTACTTAGTGGGTCAAGCCAAGTCTGTTAGGCCCCTCTGGGTCAACCTGGGTTGACCCAAATTAACCCAAACTCCTTTTCTTGGTTTTAAATCTCTTCCACTTCATCTCAAGCTCAAATTTAACCTCCTTTGGACTTAGTGGCTCAAACCCAACCTACTGGACCCAGGCTCATGCCCAAGGTCAACTTGGCTGACCAGGTCAACCCAAGTTGACCCAATTAGCCTTATTGGGTCTAATTCAAATCCTAATCAATTCAAAGGCTTCATTGACTCAAACCTTCACCCCCTTTGGCCTATTTGACTAGGTTGACCAAGTCAAACCTTGACTTGGTCAACCCAAGTCTTAAATAGGTCAATTTGACCTTTTTAGGCCAAATAAAAGCTCTTAAATGCATTTAAATCCTTCCCTATTGATCTCTTATTTAAACCCATGGCTAAATCCCTTGGTTTCCCTCCTAATTGACTATGGATTGAATTATAACCATCTATCCCAATCTTGAGCCTTTAAATAGAATATTTAGGGAAACTTGAGATGGACCTTTGCTCTTTTTCTCTTTCAAAACACTCTAAACCCGAGATCTCTTGTGCTTGAGCTCCCATCATCTCTCCCCACCTTCCCCAAGTCAAAGTCACCGTTAAAATCTTGTCGGAGGCTAGAACTCCAGTGAACCGAGGTCAAATTCCTTCCTAAGCGTTTTGTATTCGATCCAGTGCATTTCAAGCCACTATTTCTTCAACAAAAAGAAGCGTGGATAATCTGCAAGTGCAATAAGCCTTTAAATGAATTAATCCATCCATAAATCGAGGTGAAAAGCTCAACCCTAGTCTAGGACACTTAGGATTAAATAGCTTTTTAATAAGTGTGTTTTAAACCTCAATATTACCTCCCCATGAATGCTTTTCATCCATGGATTTTAAGTTTAAAATTTTACCTCGATTGATCGCGCCAATTGAGCAAATGAGGCAAAATATCATTCTTGAGTTTGGTTTATATAATCCTACTAGTTATGTAAGATCTGGATCGTTGATCGAGCGATCAATGGTCTGGATCCATCGTTTCTGCAGTGTTCGTCCAATTGTG